TGTGTGTAGCTACGCATGCGCATGTGCTCTGACACAGTTGGGTGGATCGCGGGCCTCCGTACGCGCTGGTGTGCTCTACGTCTTTCCGCGTGTCCGCCCACTCCCCTCCGATGTGTGTGTGTGTGTGTGTGTGTGTTGTTTTTTCTTCTTTTCTCTGGGGGGGTGCGTGGCTGTTGCGCGCAGATATGGCAACTCCACCGTGTCGTGCGTTCATGGCGCAGGGATGCCGCTGTATTGTATGAGCTGCGCCTTAACCTTCTATTTTTTTTTTTTCGTTTTGTTCCGTTCGTTTCTTTTCCCACCCACCCCTCACTTTTTATCCTTCGTCTCTCGCTGCGTGCGTTTTTGTTTTTATTGTTTGCGTGTGTGTGTTTTCTTTTTATTGTTCTTCCTCTTGCGTGGCGCCTTTGGCCGTGTGAGCTGCGCCAGAGACGTCCCCCGAGCTTGACGCTGTGCGTCGATCCTCGCCGCGCACGTGTGTGTGCTGCCGCGCCGCCTCTGCCCCTCCCACCTCCCCCGTATTTCTCCCTCCCTCCCTCCCTCCCTCTCTGTTTCTCTGGCTGCCTGTTTATGTGTCGCTCGCTCTGCCGCCGCCGCCGCGGGGTTGCGCCGGCGGGGCGTGGGGAGTGCGGAGGCGGACGACGCGCAGCCCCCGGGGCCGACGGTTCCCTCCCGCGATGCCCCCGTGTTTCTGCGGCCCCTGCGCCCGACGGCAGCGCCGGGTGCCCGCGCGGGGCTCGTGCCCTTTCGACTTTGCCGCCGCCGTGGGGAGCCGGTGGGGGGCGCAGCCTCATTCCGTGTAAAAAAAAAAAAGAGGCCAACGCCTGCACGCCTGTGCATCTCTCTCTCTCGCTGCCTCTGTCTCTGCTCCCCCCGGCGGGCCACCCCTAGCCCCCGACGGCATCCTTCTTCCCCCTCTTCTCTCACTGTGTGCGCGCACACGCGCGTAGGTGAGTAGGTGCCCTCGGAGCAAACCCCATTAGTTCTAGGCGTAGATGGGATCCGGGACAAGCAAAGGCGCAGAGCCGCGCGCCGCCCCGCGTTGCACGGCCGCCTGCGATACCGCAGGTTGCAGCCGCAGCCACAGCCACGACCGCGACAGTATCTGCAGCCACGACCGCGACAGTATCTGCAGCCACAGCCGCGAAAGTAGTCGCAGCCGCAGCCGCAGTCAGGAGCGG